GTACCGGCCACGCTTTCCACGTCGATGGCCAAACCGAACATTCATGCGTCCAAGATCATGCTCGTGCATTTGGTGGGACAGGCTCGGCGTCGTGTACCATGAGCTTTTAAAACGCAAGTGAAAACATCAAGGTGGATCGATATCGAACGCAATAATGCGCTTTGAGCGGCGATTAAGACAAACCGCCGCATACAGACGAGAGGCAGATAAGGTGATTTTGCTGCCATGAAATGCTAGCCGCCACTTTGCAAGAGTGGTCAACGTACTGGAAACGTTTGAATTGAGACGTCTTACCCACCGCGTATTCTCCAGAACGTTAGCTCCCTCTGATTATCACTTGTTCCTATCAATGCGCCACGACCTGGCTGAGCAACACTTCCTGTCTTTGAAGATGTAAAAGTGATTATTCTGATCGCCTCCAAGATGAACAATTTTTTCGACGCGCCATTCCACATCGCAGAAAGATGGGAAAAAGTTTGCCAGCGATGGACATTACTTTGAATAATATCTGTGTAAGCATTTTGTTCAAAAAAGGTCATATTTTTGAGAGAAAAACGGCGAGCAAAGTTGTAGTACCATTGTAATTAGGGTGAATTTAGCCACGTGTTCTCTCGTTGGTGTAAAACGTATCCAACAGATATCAATAAATTTCCCCTACAAAGGTTGATCGTTTCACAGTATCTCGTTCCGTGACTAGCAAAACTGAAATCTGAGCTGATGTGCTAGATAAAAGAATCCAGAGAGCTTTTTCAATTAAAAGATTATAACCAATTTTAAGAATCTCATGTCGGAAGAAGATTTGAATGGACTTTGCATGTTTTCTTTATAAGAGGTTTGTACGAGGCTCATTTAATTTTGAAGAATTAGTAATAGATTACAGAATGTAACAACAGAAGACTCAATTTAATTTATAGATAATGTGTTTAGCCTGTCTTCGGGAGATAATTCGATTGTATAATATTACTTATGTGCATAAAAATCCAAATATAACTATTTTTCAATGCCTAACATTGTTTGATCCTGTAACTTTGTGTGCCTCCCTTCCTAATCCCAGAGCCGCCACTGCTTATAATTACACTAATTTGAAGCCAAAATATATTTAAATTTTACGTCCCAGTACCGAGAATTCTAACCTACAATTGTATTAACCTTACTTTTATTTACAACACTATCTTAAAAAAACACATTTGCTCAACATATTACGCGCAATTCTTAGTGAATACTTCCATACTGAATCTTAAGTCCAACTACAGGTATTTAATATAGAAAACGGAAATAGCTAGACGACCAAGCTGAGAAATAACTCCTGATCCGTCCGTGATCCACCGCTCGGCGTCGGATCGATTGCGAGTCAAATTTGATCCGACTCAGACGCGTTGATTCGTTTTTAAGTGCGTGGAGAAACATACAACGGGATCAAACTGAAGTTGAACCGGATCAACTCGAGATCATCTTCTTGATTCTGGTTGGTGAAACCTGCCCATATGCATTGGGTACGTTAGGCACCACACTTCCAACCTAGGAACTGCGAACCGCTACTCGCGCACAGAACATGCACAACGTCCAACACGCGCGCGCGCACACACACACACACAAACTACATATATAATTTTATTTTCTATATTTGAAATAAATGGGGAAATAGAGCAAGTAAGATAATTTACTTACCTAGGAACCACATTCGATGTACCAAACCGCACTTAAAGAGACATTGAGAGAAAACTACATAATTATTACAGAATGTGTTGAACTATAATTATTACTGAAATGACACTTAAAGAAAGAAATGGGTTCAACCTCAAAATTGAAATTTCATCACATCACGCTATGCCAAGCTTCTATATGGTTCAGAAACGTGGATAATGAAGGAAAACAAGGAGAAAATCTAGGCTGTACAAATGACATTCCTAAGGCACCTCTTAGGGGTCACGAGAACAGACAGGCTGAGAAACATGAACATCAAAAGATAACTAAAATCTGTTGAAGAAATTTAAGTATCACAAAAGAGACAGAAAAAAAACCACTTTTGCAGGATAGAGGGTAACGAACTACCAAAACTCATCTGTAAATATAAACAAATTTGAAACACACATTGAAGAGATGAGAAAATCAGGAACTAGATGATTAATCTACTAGGTCTACTGAACCAGCACAAAGAGGAACAGGATCACACCTAAACGTCTACAATTCATTATTATTATTATTATTATTATTATTATTATTATTATTATTATNNNAATCCTTTATGGATACTAGTGAAGCTGTTGATGTCGGACTCCCATCTGGGTTACTGATTAATAACCTAACCTCCGTCTCTTACGCCGTATTCTCTCCGACGCGGAAACCGTCGTTAAGACACTACTTCACCTAGGAGATTGGCTGGTAGCAAATGCTCAACTTCCTCAGTCTTAACTCTTTCTTCATAATACTAACTATGAAGTTCTCTATTGTTTTCCATTTTTCCTGCGAACTCAGCGTCATTTCACCATGTTATCTGGGTTTATATTCTGATGGAGGTTGACATTACAAACCTCTCGTTCTACGTCCCATGCCTTGCACTGGAATAATATATGCTCTGCATCATCTATATCTTCGTAACAGACTGTATGTGGGCCTCTCTTTCCATGGCTATTAAGTTGATAGGTATACTGGCCAACACCAGCACTGCGCAAGCAGACACTGCGGTAGGCAGACGCCACCCTCAAGGCCATTCATCTTTGTACTTGGGCGTACTTGTACCCGATTGACTGCTTCTCCAGGGAACCCGCCCAGACTGGAGCAGCATACAACTGTGAATGAACTACGCCAGATGACATTCTTCTCTTGGCTTCTCTCGGTCCACGGACGTTCGGTAGCATTTTTGCGATGTTAGCTCCTGTCCTTGCCGCCTTTTCTGTCACATTTATGTGGAGCCCGAAACTTGAGTCTTTGGTCTATTTCTACTCCAAAATATCTTATCTGGCGCTTCCAGTTGATTCTCTCCCCTAGGGCAGCGGTTATAGATTGACAAAAAGCATTCCGGATACTCCTGGGCCACTATTTTTAGTATTTCACAGGGAACTCCATCGAATCCTGGGGCCTTCCCAGTTTTTATGCTTTTCGTCGCTCTCCTCAGTTTGTGTATCGTGAAGTAGTCTGCTGCCTCAACCGGGAAGTAGCTTTTTGTCTCGTTCAGTGATCTCTAGTCGGACATAGATCCATAATGGTTTTCCTCACCCATAGTGAATCATTCGAACCAGGTATCTTCCTATGTATCCTGAATTTCTTATGTACTATTTTATAAGCCATGCCCCATGGGTCGTTATCGATCTGTTCGAGGAGCACCTTCCAGCATCCGCCTTTACTTCTTTTTATTTCTCTCTTAAGTCGTTTGGACATTTCTTCATACTGTTATCTGAGGTGCAGATTCACCTTGGTCCTTGTCGCTATTCTTGCCTTAATACAATTCGTTCGAGTTCAGCTATATCTGGTGTCCACCAATACATATACACATGCTCGGACATTACATCTAGGCAAGGATGGATCGCAAGCTGCTACCACTATTTCCCCCGTTGCTTTAAACATATCCTCGAGCGTGTCCGCCTCTTTTGTACAACGTATGTTAACCAGCAACCCGGATTCTTCCATTTTGCCTTGTCTTAATTCAATTTTCTGGGGATTCCAAGGTATCCTTTATATCGCATTTTGACATGTTGCGGCCCCTCGGTTAATGGAGCCGAATACCCTATACACCGATGGATACTCAGGGTTTCTTCGTCGAGCACTGACCAATGAGCGATGCCTTTAGCTAGCTTTGTGGAGCTTATTGTCAAATCCAAAATAGATGATGCGTTGAAATGTGTACTCATCCCCAGTATTTAGGATGATCAGATCATTTCCTGCAATGAATTCACATATGATACTTCCTCTTCTATCGGAGCGCCTCTCTTCCCATTCGGATGACTTACCATTGGAATCACCTGCCACTAATGCCTCGCTTTTAGACGGTTTCAAACTAGCCTCCAGCTCATCGATATCTTTCTGAAATTTTTCTAGCGTATCGTTCGGGGAGAAATAGCGGCAATAATTCTCATATTACCCACTTCCATATAAATCCGTATTTCGTTATCTTGTGTTTCTTGATATTAATCTTCTTATAATGCATTATTATGCCGTCTTTTCCAGTAGCAGTCTGATACATGTCGCAGTGATGTAGCTCGCTAATGAGCAGCAAGTCCACCTCCCTTTCAGCGGCAACCTGCAGCATCAAATCCCGTGCTTGTTTGTTTACTCCTACCCAAAATAACTTGTAGGAATCTGAAGATTTTTGTCTTTTTGGCTTTATTGAGCGCCATGATGGAAATACATTTATTACTTCCTAACAGATGATTATCATCTTTGTTTCCCTCTTTACATATAACACACTTCAGTTTACCAATACAATCCTTGATACCATGTCCGGATTGGCACATCTGTAACATGCTTCACTTCGATCGGAACCTCTGCAAGCAGTTGAGATATGTCCGAAGTCTATGCATCTATAACATCTTGATATCTGCAGCTTTTCTGTGATTTCACAGAATAGGGTAGTCTTGTTTTTTTGCCTATATGAAGAACTTTGCATTTCTGGGTGTTCAGCGTGAGTAACCATTTTTTAGATCTTTTTTCCATTGTAAGATAATTCTGTAATGTTTGGGGATTGTTCAATGGATTTGCAAAGACTTCAGTATCATCAGCATTGTATTTCCATCCTGTAGCTGCTTCCTCACCCAGGTCACTTGGGTTTAGAATGAACCACATCGGTCTCAAAACGGATCCCTGAGGAACACCACTTGCAACAGATTGGGATGTTAGTACTGTGTCTCCAATACGTACTTGAAAAGTCCTATTTGAGAGGTAATCTCTAATCCATGTTAATAATTTGCCTCGTAACCCCATTACTTCTAGTTTATAAATCAGTCGCATGTTTGGGATTTTGTCAAAAGCCTTAGCATAGCCTGTCAAGATGGGTTGGTCCACATCCTGATGGGGGGATGCAGGGAGGGCTTTGTAGTATTCTTTTCTTTCACCAGCCATCTTCATCTTCCCCATCATTCTTTTATAACATTGTCTCTTTTCTTCTACCCCTTCTATTTCACTGCCCCCCTCCCATATGCAGAACACCCACCCGTGTGTTTGTCATGCATGGCAACCCATCTCGAGCGAGAATGTGTGTCCTGGCAGTTGAGGGATTTGCTTGTTTCCCAACTACTTGTGCTACTTTCTGCTTTGCACCTAGGGATACATTGTTTATGTATTTTGTGAAACATTCCTTGTAGGTTTGCAACACACTTGCTTTGGCCTCATATTCTTCTAGACGGGCGGTTGGGAGCTAACCCGTTTCTGATCAATCGGCTTGGACGATGACGATGACGACGCTTGGATGACAGAAGGAAGAGGCAATGTTTTGAGAGAAGGTGGAATTGAGTAGTTTCTTCCTTAGGAAAGAAGATAAACCAACGAAGCCGTGTTTCCTTTTAATGGTGTGCGCGGAAGAAGGAAAAACCTTTAAAAGTATTTGTACGGTTCTTCTCGCACGAGCCATTAAGGACAGTTTTGATAAACTCCAAGCGGTGGTGCATCAGAGGAATGGTGCTATTCTCTTCGAAGCACGCATTGATGAGCAAAAACCTCAAAAACTAAGCAGATTGCCAGCCTCTAGGTGGAGGTGACCACTCACTCTACCAGAGAGTGTATATCCCCACCCTTAACCTGTATAAGGGAGTGGTGAATCATGATGACTTTGCATCCAAAAGTGAGGAGGGACTTCTGTCTTTCTTGAAGAGTCAGGGCGTAATGAAGGTTTTTAGGATCAAGAGGAAGGAGAATGGGAGAGAGATACCTACAAAAACTCTGATCTTGATGTTTAATCTCCCCTTTCTCCCAGACAGGATTAGCCTAAAATTTTGGTTTAAATTGGTTTTTGCGCACTAGCTTTAGATGGTTCGTGAAGACAGGCTCTGATGCGCCATGTTGTAAGAAACAAAGTATTGTCATGGAAAGAGTATGTTAATAAGTCTGAAAAACGGGGAAAAGTCAGTGTGTTATGTGTTTAATTTTTGGCACCAACTTTTGTCACGAACCTGTAGTAGATTTTTAGTTTTGAAATTGTAATTTTGATATATACTCTTGACACAATGCAATAATATTAATAACTGCATGTTTGTAACTAGTAATCACTAAAATAAAAATATTAGAAACTACTTATAAATTTAAAAAAAATAATGAAACATTATTGGGGTGTCAAATCACACCAAGGCCTCACAAGGTTAATAAAATCTGATTTAATCATTTACTTGTAACAATATGTTTATTATATCACTTCTTTTTCTGGCCCTTCATATATATTACTTACTCTATTCAGAATGCTTTTGTAATTTGTATATCTATGTCATACATTATCACATAGATATATCAAAATAATGTATTTCTCCATCTTTTTTTTCTTTTTCTTTTCCATCTTAATTTTGTAATTTTGATTTGATTGTTGGGGAACAGCGTATGGAAACTGTGGTTGATAGAGCCATGCTTCCTGGGCAGAATTCTCGTACAATTCAAAGAGGATCTGAATCAGATGCTTCACAATACACTTCTTCTGCATGTAGCTGCTGATTTCAAGTAAGTTATTATGATCTTAATGATATGTATTGTTTTCCTAAATTATGATTACACGATTTTGTAATGCTCTTTATTTGTTGATATTTTATTTGTAGGAATGAAATATATGATCAAATGTAAGAGATCATTGTTCTACATTATGAACCACTTGTTATCCAGTCTTAACAGAAATGAGAATACTGATTTTCACTTCAGTCATGAGAAGGAACCTGTTTGTGAAAAATGTAGAAATAATTTATTTTGTAGATAGTGATTATTTATTTTGTGAAGCCTTTCAAATATAATCTTCATTTTTTTGGGTTCCTTAACTCCTTTCTACAAAATCGTGAGTGAATTTGGGAAATAGCTACGATCAGCAAGATTAGAAGTCATTAATTTGTAATTTTGATTATTCATATATTTATTCATCTAATTTTTATCCATCTCCAGTTTATTGAAATACTTTAATGTCGTTTTAATTATCTCTAATTTTCTGCTTTGTGATAATGATTGTAAGCAGAAATTTGGCTCCTTGTTACTTCTTGTTAAATTTTATTTAATATATATGCATTATTACAGTACAATGTGTGTATTGTTTTAATTCATTATTGATTGATGAGTGGATGATGAAAAAAAAATAATAATAAAAAAGTGATAGTGATGTCTGATTCCTTGTGATTAGAAAGATACTGTTGTCACTAATATAATGGTCAATATTATCGATGCATATATTTTTTAAACAATAGAGAAAATTCAATTCTAAACTTCACCAAGATACTTATGGTTGTGACATAAAAGTACAGCTTGATACATACAATTTTGAAATGTTATTCTCTCTTTTTGAAAATTTGCTATGTTGTTACTGCACTTGGCAAGTATTCTTTACTGGTTCTACATTGATTTGTGAAATGTATAAATTCATTTAATAACTGATAAAGTTCAGCCTATCTCAATTGAGACAGAACAAATCTATTTAAAGAAGTTAAATATGGATATTTTAATTGGGATATTTGAAATATGGTTTGTTTTCTTTAATACAATGAGAGTGGGATATACCTATGATGATATGGATTTTTAAATTGGAAATCTTCAATAAAATGTATACAAATGAAATTTACTGAAAATTTGGTTCCATTAATCCTTATTGTATACTATGCAATTTTTAGAATTGATTTTAAAACTGCAGTGAAATTTGAAAACTTGTTTTCAATATTCTGAACTTTAGAAGTTGTATCTGCTCTCCTCGAGTGTGTATGTAAAAGAAATTTTAATGTTATATTTTCATATGGGAGAAGAAAAAAATGTGATTTGTTTTTGTTTTTTGATACAATTATACTACAAATAATTGATACATAAATTCAAGTAAATATTTTTGTTAATAAACCTTTTCTATTGAAATTGTTATCAAATATGAAGCCAGAGTTCAGTGTTGCTAGTTAATAATTGTATTCTATAAAGAAGTAGACTCATAAGAGTATCCTTGAATATCAACTGCCTTTTGTTCTGCAATGCTGCTGTAACTTGCAATTATGACATTGCAACTTCTGTGGCATCAGATAAATTAACATGAAATTGCCATGTTGTTAAATACATTTCTAAACAGCAATGTCCTTAAGTACCATTTTCCTAAATATTAATATATATATATATCTTAGAATACGTTGATTTTTACCTCTTCCTAATTGGTTAATTCGATTTTGCAAACGAGTCTTTAAGAAAATACATCCAGGAGGCAAAAGTTTAACATACCCCAGTGTGTCTGTGCCCCCATGGTAAACTACCTTCAATTTTGTTAGTCGTCCAAAAAATTTTTGGAACAAGTAATTTTTGAAGCACTTTACATGTAGCACTAGAATGCAAATTCTTTTTTGATAAATGTATGTTAATTTGAAACTTCTAGTGTTTGGAGGTCTGTTTTTGAAAAGTGGCCTTTGTTTTTCTTAAGAGGAAAGTTAGATTCTAACTTGGTAGAAGTGAGGAATTGATTAGTAGAAAATGTATATTAAATGTTCATGTCATTAAATGATTAGATAGATAGATAGAAGTAGATAAACGTTACAAAATACGTAAAAGTCAGATATTAGTCTTAATGTAGAAGAATTGTGTATTGCCGTGGGTATTGCCATGCTATGATGTTCTGTTATATTGAAATAATTAACATGTATCATGAATTGTGTATGCAAAGCAAATAGTTGATGATTTATTTATGCAGCCTTAATATTCTACATAGTTATCATGCTTTTATTTGCAAAGGACTACCTCAGAAAATTCTTACAATTTAAATTTAACATATCCTTTTCCTCTACATTCAAGTCATATATTAAGTTTTATCCAAATCCCTTTGTTATCCCAGATACAATTTTTTTACAAGGTTGTACAAATAGAAGTAAGAAATTATTTTTGTTATTATAAAAATGCATTTTCTGTAATTAAATTTTAAAACATGTATTTGTTAATTTGGAAAAAAAAATTTAATATGTTTTATTTTCAAAGTACTCTCAAGCAAGCATCATTTAAAAGCTTTCAAATGATGTGTGAACAATATTTTTTTCTATGGAAATGACAGGATATAATACAATTTTTGTTTTGTATGGCTTGATTTGTCTCAATTTTGAAATCATTATAACTTCAAAATTATTTTTTCTATTGCTATCTCATAATCCACAATTCTATTTACATTAGCAGGTACTTCAGACACATGAAATTTGAATAAATCTGAAACTGGATTGGGACTTTTATTCATGTAACTGAACAATTGGAGAAATGACAACTATTTGTTAATGAACAAATGTGCCCCCTAACTAACAAAGCCGTGATTTCCACAGAAGTTCTATGATAGATTTTGCTGAGTAATGGTAAAGCTGTGAACTGTAAAAAAATGTTTGAGTTGTGTATAAAGGAAAAGTTAAACAGACTGCTGCTGCAAAAGAAACTGCATGAAAAAATAAATTAAACAGTCAAATTATATCTGAACAGGATTATATATTTTGGGGAAATAAATTACCGTTTTTTAATATTTTTTGTATTGGCCATTTTGAATCATTCAGAACAAACTTAAAAAAATTGTGACATACTAATTTTTTTATACTATTAAAAAATGATCTAAATTAATGTAAAACTGGATAACTAGATTTGTCATTATTTATTTTACAAAAATTCACTATTATGTGTCTATTTCACTGCTATACTTCACTATTAAATATGTATTCTGATAATTAGAAAGGAAAGTAAATTTGTGGAAGAATAATCTTTTGTGGTAAAATTGTATTAATTGCATTGCCTCCCAGAGATCTAAATAATCATGTCATGTAAATGCAAATATTTGTTGCACTAGAATTAAATAATCTTTCATAAATATACAGAGAATTATAATTTTGTACATTTAACTAATTTGCCAAATTACAAATGAATTTAAAGATCATCAAAATCTAAATGCATGTCTGTCATTTAAATGCAAATTATTATTGCTTAAGAATGAAATAAGAATGAAACGCTTTCATAAAATACAGAAAATTATAATTTCATAAATTTAACCGAGTTGGCTAAATTTCGAATTAATTTAAACATAGATCACAATCACAACAAAATACTTTTTTTAAATGAAATTAATTTTTTAAAGAATATAACAAAGATAATAGAAATAACACATTGTTAATACAGAAGAAAAAAAAATGAAAAAAAAAACACTTAAACATGATAAATGTGATTTGCATTGTGAGGAGGTTTTGTAGGTTTTATTTAAAATTTATCTTTTCACTGAACATTTTAATAAAGGAAATCAGTTTTTTAATCCTAAAATTAATATAAATATACTACAATTAAATTATTTTCATTATATATGAATATTACTTATAATCACATCAACAAATGAATGTTTTAAATAATATATTGAACAGCTGTGAATGTATAAAAAATAAAATAGATCATAATTAAATAAAACATCCGAATGGTGTAATTTGAAAGAAAAATCACAATTTTTGTCAGCATTATATTAAAGTATATTTCTTTAATAGTTCTCTTTACTTGTTTTTTAATTTCAATAAATATTTGCCTATTCTCAGCATTTAAATATACTTTTTTCATATGATAGTCATTTACCTAGATTATAAATAACTGATTGGAGCTCTGTTTTTGAAATAAAATTGATGGATATGTTTTAAATTTGGTTGATTGATGATAGAACAATGTAAACCTGTCTGAAAAAACACCCCTGTAAAATGAATTATTGTTTTCCTAGTGGAGAAATTGTTTCTCGGGCTACAGATGAGTTGCCTTGATTTCTTATTTTAGATTTTTCTTTTGATTTTATTATTTTCCCTTAGAGGTTTACCACGAAATTACCTTTTCTTATGAAGAATTTACTCATATGAACTTATAATAGAGTATATTATGCTATTGAATTAACAAAGTTTATAATTTTTTAATAGTATTCAACAAATGCACTGCACTTGAAGTTATAAAGTGGGATTATTATCTGTTTTTTCATAGATCAGTTACACTGGTCAACATGAGTTTTGTATCAATACCAATACCAATAAGTGTACCTAATGAAGTTTTTAATGTAGTTTTCAAATATGTATTTGGAATTTATCCATCACCCAATTTCTTTGGATTTTTAATTTTTTTAAAATTTAGTAAATGTTTTTTCGTCCATTTGCCCATTGTCAAGAAAAATATCCTTGAGCATTGTAATAATGATGGAACCAAATGAGCTTACTCAAACGGGAGCGTTGCTACTGTTGTGCAGGTTTTACATGTTTAGTCGTGTACAAACACGATCTAGAATAGGATACATTCATTGGAACTATGGCATTTGTGAGATAGTTGTGAACCAGTGAACATGTCAGTGTGAAGAGTTTGTGTGCCTTAATTATTGTATATTTTATATTTACATACTTATTTATTTGGTTATTAGTTGCTAGTTTGTTATTAGTCAAAATGACTAGATTTTTGTTTAATTAATCCAAATAATTTTAGTTATCATATGTGGTTAGTCCTAATGGTGAAACCTCACTCTGTTAGTGAAAAAGTGGTATGATCTTTATTTTGGGTGTATGGAGGGGTACCAAATAAGGTCCTGCACCCTCCACACGCACCCTCCACACACGCACGCACGCACGCACGCGCGCGCGGACGCGCGGACGCGCGGACGCGGACGGAGACACGGATCTCTCGTTTATTGTGTTCTAGGCTTCTCACTGCCTGGAAAAGTGGCACCCTCCACATGCCATTTGCTATCCCTATGATTTGGAGGAATACAAAGATCATTCCTCTAACTGATATTTCTGCTTAACAAAGATTACAGGCATTATGTCAAAATCAAAACAAACAGTGGTGTAACCTTACATCAAATCTGCAATGAGTCCAGATCCACACTGGAAAGAATTGCCCATACCAAAGCCTCCATATGACATTAGAGGAAGAGAGTTCAGATTCAGATAAAGGTATGGAAGAAAAAGAAACAGATTCTTCTGGTGATACAAATTTTTAACAAAGTTATTCATTTGAGTCTCATTTATTGACTCAAGGAGATCTCGAAGATCTCATACAACATTTTAAGTAATCCAAAAAACAGTCTGAAATGCTTGGTTTCTGGCTAAAAGACTTGAATCTTCTTCAAAAAAAATACAGACATGTACTAAACGTCATTTTCAATTTAAAGACTATTTTTCTGAAGAAAAAGGCTAAGTATTTTGTTAGGAAACACCTAAAATGAACATTCCCTTCAGAATGTTTAACTACCTGCAATACATATAAAATTAGGATTAGGAAAATTTTGCCTCAGTGAGCGATGAACACGGGGAACACTTTCATCTGAAGATTTTTGCTATGAAAACGATATTTCAAGGCAAATGGAAATTTACTATGCTGCCGATTCTTGTTGGACCAGTAAGAGAAATGATCCACAGGTGAAATATAGTAGAAAATAGTGATTTAGTTCTTTCTAGATCAGTCAGAATAATTGAATATTGTGTAGTTAAGAATGCAAAAAGTATTGAAATGTTTGAAAATTATAAGTGCCTGTCTTTCAGAAACCTTGGGTGATGGGGAAAAACAAATATATATGAATTCAGGATACTATCAGAATCACATATTTTTCTTCCTGAGACAAAAAAAGTTTAATTTTAGTTCCGTTGTGTCATGTGATCAGATGTTGCAGTGTTTCCATCAATAGAATTGACAGGGCATGGTTGTTTCCACATATCATAACTAATGTTGCTAGAAAAAGGTCTAGGACTAAGAATATAACCATTGCAACATTTGTGAACTAATTAGACGTATGTCTTTATGAAGACAGGCTTAGGTAGCTTTGGGCATCAATTAATGTCACTTCAGTGTCTGTGCCTCTGCCAATGTTCTAGAGTTTGAGTCTCAAAATAGGCAGAATTTTTGACACTAGCTCAACAGCTAGGTCAAATTCTGTCTCTGACTGGAGATGAATTATATCTGCTGGCTTCTCTAATGAGTAGTTTCCCTTGTTTTTTCTCATCAACTCCATGTTAATGCCAGAGCAGTACCCTAACGAATGGGCCACTGACAGTGCACAATCTGTCCTTCAACTTTCCCGTCCTATTACCGTCTCACGTCTTACTTGCACACTTACACTTACATGCACTCCACTACCACATATTGGGAGACCAGCCAGGAGCTTAGAGCTTGTCCTGGCTGCGGCAGTGCCCTACTAATGGGAGATAACTGGTTGCAGAAAACCTCACAAGCCAAAAATCAGATCTTGTCAACTGGGGAAAATCACCATCACCTTCTGCAATACAATCATGCACTACACTTATGAGACTAATGACTTTGGCTGGTAATGTGTCTAGAAACTCTTAATCAGTCAATGTTTATGAGGCAATGTATGTAAACTTATTAGAAGTGTAATGTCTATTTATGTGGCTTAATAGTTGACTTTTATTTTATTAAGATGTCTATTCTAACCTCTTGGAAAGAAAGAGTCAGTTTCACAATATTTATATTTCTATATACAATCTTAGTGTTTAGAAAGTACACATTTATGATCGTAGTTTTCATTGTTGAGAGAAATTCTTCATATCCTCTCTGGTAATAATGCTCTAGAACCTTAACTTTTTATGAGCGTAAAACATAATCCATAAAATTACAGTATTAACATCTTTTGAAGAAACAAATTATTTTTGTATGAGGCATCTGGAGGAAATATAATCCTATTGAAACTTTAAAACACTATTTTTCTAGAACATACTTTTTTCTGCTAGAAACTACTAAGAGAAATCATTAACCATTTTTAATCTAACGCTTTTTAAACCAGTTTCAAGAGGGTGAAGAAATAAATAACAAACATCATAGCATTGCATGAAAAACTTTATACAAATAGTTTTAAGTTGTTTGTACATGAACACCTATTTTATTGTGTTCCTAGTCATAACGTGGGGGTGATAATGTCT